AAGAGGGGGCCATAGATACCAAAAGAACATCCAAACTCACAAGTCGAAAAAAACTGGCAACGTTCTTAGAGAGTCCGTTTAGTACGGGATCGATTTGTACCTTATTATTGAGAACGTTGTTTGATTTTCGCTTGATTCATTTTAGTAGCACTTTTTGATTCTATTTTGGTTGTATTCAAATTGCATTTATAAGTAGAAACTTCATTTAAATATAAACCAAACCAAACCTCGAAAAAAGTTAAGCAATACCATTTCTAACTGAAAATTATGTAAAACAAAATTACGATTTACCTTTTAAATTGTGTGTTTTCGTAATCTTCAATAACTTTTGTATTCAAAAGTATTACAGTTATGTTGGTCTTTCTGACAGCTGCATATGTTAACAAACTATGAGAGAATGGGTCAAAATTGAAAGTATCAATTTAAAAAAAAAATGCACATGTTCTTGTTAAATAAGGTGCATAACGCATAAATTTGACGAATAAGTGAATCGAATGGCATTTTTTCTTTACATATAAAAAGAAAATAACAATTCTCTCGAAAAAAAATGAAAACAATTGGAGGGGCATTTTATCTATCACCCAATTTTTAGCATATTTTTGATGTTTTCTTCCTTCCTTAATTAATTAATTCCACACAATTTAAAACAGGAATACTGTTAATTTCAGATCATTTTGAGCTTTTTTTTTACAAATATATAAGTCATCAACGTTTGTTTTTCATTACACCAAACGGAAGTGCTACAAAACTTTAAATGAGTAGTATATTTTCAAACCTACAAAGAGCTTTTGCACTTAAATGGATTTTCCTTACAAAGAATTTGCCGCTTACCCGTCAGGGGAAAACAACATATATATTTCAAATCTTCTTTAAAGCAGTCTTAATTGATATTTAGTCTTAGATACATGCATTTTTTAGAAGTTATTATTGGCTTTGAACTAGCTGCCAGTAACTGTGCGTACTGTCAGATCTGTGTTTTTTTGTTGTTGTTATGGATGTATAAGTACTCTGCCTCGTCCGGTCTGTGTTTTCGTTAGGTGTCTTGTTCTTGTTTATATTGATCTGAGGAGGTAAGATGATTTAAGCCCTTTTCAACTGCTTTTAATAGTTTGTTCTTATGCTGTACTGTAACACCATTTTCCCATGTTAGGGGGAGGGTTAAGCACTCACAAACATGTTTAATCCCGACACATTTTTTATTTGACGGTCCAAAGTCAGGAGCCTGTAGTTTAGTTGTTGTCGTTGGTTCATGTCTGTCATAACTGTTAGTCAACTGTTTTGTTATGAATAAGACCGTTAGTTTTCTAAATTGATTTGCTTCATATTTTCAATGTCGGGGCCATTTATAGCCGCCTCTACGGTATGGGTTTTTCTCATTGTTGAAGGCCGTACGGTTGCTTATAATTGCTTACATCTACTTCAGTTGACCTTTAATGGATAGTTGTCTGATTCATGCGATTAGCAATCATACCCCATCTCCTTATTTTTTATATTAAATAAAAGAAGGAATTGCTTTAATATGTTTAAATGTAATAAGTGTAAATTCTTTTCGTAATAGTAAAAGCTCAATGATGAGTTAATATTGATATCAAAAGACTTCGAACAAAAAGGGATGTTGAGATCCCCGTCAGGGGGATTTGAACAGACCTTTTTGTGAGGAGGTCTTTGAATGTCAATATTAACTTTAATCATTGAACTTTTACTGACTTACAAACCGCCAAAAACATAAGAAAAGTACACAAAAAACCACTTGCAGAAGCCTAATTCACCTGAATTGGACGAGTCTAGATATATTCAACTCAAATGATAGTTAAACAGTACTCAGACTGATTAGACAAACAGTTACCTAATTGCATTGAAAACGGACTGATTAAATGGCATTATAGCATTTAATTATTTGTTTATTATAATTTTTTTAGCATTAAATAAGACCATCGGATAGTTTTATAAAATTAAGGGGTAAATTTATATTTTTGAATTCCAACTTTTCAATATAACGATTTTCTATTTTATAAATGAGGAAATCAAAACCCTATACAGACCTCATTTGCAACTGACCAATGAAGCTCTGCACCAAATATTCTTGTTATATATATTTGATGTTTTTAATGTGTCATTTCTTTTTTTTTTTTTTGGTTAAGAAAAACTATGCATGTAAACTCCTATAAATAAAATCGAATTAAATAGCCTTAAAGTAATATCTTTAGCATCAAGTTATTTTTATGCCCCTATTTATGGGATTATGTTTTTCGGTCTGTGCGTCCGTCCGTCCGTCCGACTGTTCCGCTTCAGGTTAAAGTTTTTGGTCAAGGTAGTTTTTGATGAAGTTGAAGTCCAATCAACTTGAAACTTAGTACAGATGTTCCCTATGATATGATCTTTCTAATCTTAATGCCAAATTAGAGTTTTGACTCCCATTCTACGGTCCTCTGAACATAAAAAATGATAGTGCGAGTGGGGATTCCGTGTACTATGGACACATTCTTGTTTTTTATTAGTTGTTATTGGTTTTGAACTAGCTGTCAGTAACTGCGAGTACTCTCAGATCTGTACTAAGTGTCTTTTTTTGTTGTTGGGATGTACAAGCTAAGTACCCGTCGACGTCCACTTTGTGTTTTTGTTAGATGTATTTCTATTTGTATCCATCTAATGAGTTAGGCCTTTTTCAACCGATTTTTATAGTTTGTTCATCATGTTCATATGTTGTACTGTTACAACACTCTCCCAGGTTAAGGGGAGGGTTTTGCGCCATCTTACTAGTTTAACCCCCGTCACATTCTGTATGTGCCTGTTCCAATTCAGTGGTGATGTGTTGCTGTGTTACATATTTGTTTTTCGTTCATTATTTTGTACATAAATTAGACCGTTAGTTTTCTCGTTTGAATTGTTCTACATTTTTCATTTCGGGGCCTTTTATGGTTGACTATGCGGTATGGGCTTTGTTCATTGTTGAGGGCCGTACGGTGACCATTATTTGTCAATTTCTGTGTCATTTGGTCTATGGTGGAATGTTGTCTCAGTAGCAATCATACCACATCTTCTTTTCATATGTAGGTTTAAGTGGCTCGATCAAAACGTGCATTGATGAGATATTTGCGCAAGGTTGATTATCGTTCACTTTTATTTTAGTCGTCCGTCATTTCCTTTTCTACAGAAGCGTATTAGGGCCATCCTTTTTTAATTTATTTTTTCAAATTGTCGACTTTAAACTAGGAATTATTAATGTACCCATTTTTATATAACATTCAGCAATAGTTGGTACCTATATTTAGAATATATAAATATATACAAAGAATGATCTTTACTTATATACAATATTTTAATTTTAAAATGCATAGATTCAGGGACTTTATATTTATGAAAATATAAAGTCTCTGATTGATTCAATTACCACAATTGGCCATTAATATAAGATTTCTAAAATAACATATTTATATAAGATATGTAGGATATACCCCAAAATCAATATAAAGTTATGCAAGAACAATGCATATCAATATAGAATGTCATTAAAAAGAAGTGTCATATATATATATAATTCCGCATATTTATGACCCATTTTTTTGACATATCTACGCAGGCGGAAACCCGGTTGAAATAGAACAAAAGAATCGAAGCTCTTTGTTAGAGAAGGCGATAAATGCTTACTGTAAAGTTTACTATAGTAACGATATTTTTAAAAGTTAATAGAAACAAATAAAATGACAGTTTTCGGCTAAATTACGAAGTATTTTATCATAAAAACACAATTTGCATAAGTTTTCAATTTATCTATTACATAATTAAGCAGAACAATTAGATATCAAGTCGACGACATGGGTGTCTATTCAGGTTGATCTAAAAAATGAATAACCTCCGATTTTTTTTTTTTTTTTTTTTTTTACCACGGACGGAGAACATATCAATCTATTTGTTCCTTAATTTTCGTTTTTGCCCTTCCATTATGTAACTCAAGACAAAATTCAAAAAAATGGGTAACAATTGCATCGAAAAGATAAAATTGAGTGCACCTTTTTATGTTAGGGTGTGTTTGAGTTAAATATTTTGTCTTGAAAATGTATAAAGCAAGAGTATTTGATACATCATCTCGCTTTAGATTCTATTATTTTTATATGTACTTTGGGTTATAAATATTGCGTTTTCTTCAGTCTTTTCTTCCAAATCCAACGCCTGAATCAAAATGTCGTCCGTCTTATACCCCGTCCATATTGACAACTGCATACAAGGAGCATGGTGTATTTTTTTTTTTGTAATAAAAATGCACGATACGGCCAACATTGACCTGTTGGTCCATATAAGCACATGCATCTAACGGGATTATACAATACGGCAACTACGACATTTGTAAAATCTACTCACTTGTCAAAATTGAATGAAGATCGTCAAAGTAAGGTTACTAGTGGGGTTTCATCTAAAAAAAATATGCCTTTTCTTATTAGTTATGGTTCGATATTGTCAATCAAAATGCTATCCGTTCTTTTTCATTTGATATTCAATGTAAACAAATTTAGTATCGGGTGTAAGTAAGTTATACACTTCGGGATACGGCGTGTCTGGATAAGATATTTTATATTCTTATCCAGACACACCTATCTCTCAGTGTATAACTATTACTGAAATGAGATTGTCCCAGGTACAAAATGTATCTTAGATAATTATTTTGCTTTGAATAACAATGGAAAATGCACGAACAGGCTTGTAATGCGTTTAAATCTGCACTTTAACAGTAGATTTATTAATTATTTGAGATTCTCGGTCTAAATAAATACAAATCATGCAAATGTTTCTCAAAAATAAGCGTCCATTTGAGTAAATATAATGAATATAAGCATACGTTAAAATATGAGAAATGCAGAATTAAAGCACAATCTCGAATAACATTATGTAAAGTTACAGTAACGTGTATCATACATACTCGTCATATAATATAACTAATCATTAAACACTGCAGTACAGTTATCGATTTTAATGTTTTCAAAATTTTGTTATGACATGGAAGCTAAATTTAGACATAACTCACCGACAAAATAAATGTGCATACATGTTGTTTTGCTGTATGTACGAACATGTGGAAAACTATGGAAGAAAATAATAGTTGGATAAAATTGAATGGACTCCATATTGAATATCCATAGGGTAAGATTTAAAATTTATTGAATGATTCAATAAACACACATTAGGGTGCATTCCTCAATGTACCCACACCATTGAAATTCATCATACTTGTTTTGATTGTTTCGTGTATGCCTTTATGATTAAATTATGAAACTTAAAAGTTCATGAAATATGGTGTATTAAATGGCTCAGCCATTAACCCTTTTAATATAATTAAAATTACAATGTAGATTTTCTACTTTCATTTTCGTTTAGTCGGTTTCCGTTCAATACTTTCAGTATGAGAGAATATATAATATCGGACACATAAGAAAAAGGATAATCGATTATTTCACCAGATGACGTGAATATCTGTAATGATAAACATATTAATAAATCACTCCATAACGGACAACCTTCATTGGGCTGAAACTTATAAATTCATAGAAAATGAAATTGTTGATAAAAAAATATAAGTATGATATAAATGTCAGTGTATATAACTTTCGTTTTTGGAATAATCTAGATGAGTAACGCTGATATACACCACGACGGATTTATGTTTTGTCCTCTTTTTTTCTTGCGAATATCATTGATTGGCATGAAATAACAATTTTTCAAAAAATCATGATCGAGGCTGTTATACTATTATGGAACATAACTTTAACCGTTCCTTCAATCTTGGTCATGACTTAAAATTTGGTATTCCTGAAACATCGAATAGTATGGTATTATAACAATCCGCTGAGTTTATGGTGTAAATATTCTTAATCTACATTAAGGGTAGTATTTAAGTATAATTAATGTGACGATCGTTTTATTAAGAGACAAAACGTCAAAAGAGAATTATCAGGATTAAAATGTTTCCCGCACTTTCTTAATCTTTGAATTCCATTTCCATTGCGGCCAATCAAAAGCAATATAAAAAGTGAAAGACACTAACATTATACAGGCTATTTGTAACATGTGATTTCTGTTGTTGTTAATCTTTTAAGTATTTCAAGAGAAGAAGCAGAAGTTGGTGGTGTGTATGGTCTACTGAACTGTGCGATTATTTTGACGATTCCTGTTATTCTCTTTTAATTTATTAGAACTATGGCTTAAAACATGAAAAAAAAAACATATGTGCACCAAGCACTTCATAGAAAACTCACACAAAGTAACATGAACCCTACTGATTCAAATTTCAATACTGTTTCTAAATTATGCTGACTTAGATAAAGGAAAAATAAGGCAGGAATCAATTTTGAGTTGTTCAGTATACACGTACATGTAGTTCCTTTATGTATCATTAAAACTAAAATATAATAAGAAAAGACTAACAAAACTTAACTAAAAAAACCCGCCAAAAAATAAAATAGAATAGAATTTTTATGACTAATTGTATACTGAAGAAGCCTCAGCTTGGTGTGGTTATCAACTTAAAACAAATACAGGGCCGTTCCTTACATAATGAACTTCTTTGTTCCCTTTTTTGTAAGGAACGGCCCTGTATTTGTTTTAGGTTGGTAACCACACCAAGCTGCGGCTTCTTCAGTATACAATTAGTCATAAAATTTCTATTCTTTATTTCTATTTCTTTTCATCAGAATAAAAAAATCATAATTGCTACAAGTTGACTCCCAAGTTTTGCTATACTATGAGACATGTTTTCGTCGATAACATATGTTTCTGAATGAACAAGTCTTTTGTCTCAATATCCTATAAACAACATGCAATGGAAAGCAATCTATAATGCATTTCTCATCCATTGCTTTCAGTGTCCTTGTTTCATTCACGTATATACCACCAGATTTGTTTTGGAGTTCATGTATCCAAAGAAAATATAAGTCAATGGCTACAGCACATGGCATTGAAGTGTCGCATAAGACCCACTATGCGCGTCTTGGACATGCCTCGCAACATTTAATACCTAGTATTCTAAAAGAATTGTTGGCTCATTATATTCCACCAAATACCCTTCTCGGTCAAGTGAATGGATGCATAAAATTAACCCGAAGTAAACTATTGAAAACTGGAGAATGGAAAAAAATACACAATGCTGCAAATAACGGATACGATGAATTCGATACCCCACTCATTTATACAATTTTACGAAATATCTTTCCTACAATTCAACCAACGAATAGATGGGATCATCCAACAAATCCTCAACCGCACGAGACAACACTAGGAGATGATATTGAAAGATGCCGAAGATATCGTAATGCAATTTTACACAGAGGAAATACAACAGTTACAGATCAAGAGTTAGATGATATTTTTAATGACTTTAAATCTATGGCGATGAGGTTTGAAAATGTTCTAAAAAAACAACCAAACGAATTCGTCTTTGAATTTGAAAACTTAAGAACATGTTGCATGGATGAGGATACAGAAAAGATGTATTTAGACAGACTCCAAGATATTCAAGAAAAGGAAAAAGATGACCATGAATCCATCAAAGATTTAGAAAAAAGGACTAATCTCACCGAACAGCGTATGTCAAAGGTTGAGTTAGATATGCAATCTCTTACAGGTAAATGCAACTTGTTTCGCTCAATATTAAAACATCTACTTTAAAAGCTGTCGACATCTTATACTAGTGCATTGATATGAAACGTGATATAATGTAAATATTATGGTATAACGAATATCAATATATGCGTTCCCTTTTTCAAGAAGCTGTCAATATCTGAGTTGTAGAATGCTGACTTTTAGAAAGCTCTTTTTGTTGTAACATATACATACCTTTAAATGTTCAACATGTTTTAACTCTGTCTGGTTTCGTCAGAAATATCTGTTAGGGATTCCTTCTACTTGTTCTATTACGTCTAACAGTTTACTACCTCTGATTTGTCGTTGAATTTAATATCATCATAGGTCTTTGTTTTATTGTGAAAAATCCAATATATTGTCATATTTGTATCAATAAGTGGATAACCAAAATATGTATCAACGTTCTTAGTTTAGAATGAAGATCTTTAATGCAGTATGAATAATCAAGTCACAACCAGAACCGCGGCTATTTAGACTTTGACATATTGTATATTAATTTACACATCTGTAATGTGTTAGAACACAATCAAAAGGACAATAAAAACAATAAATGAGAGAGAAAAAAAAAACGGAATGACGCTAAGAAAGCTAACACACAAACATAGGAAAAAAACCAATCCTAAGAAACTCGACATAACAAAACCGGAAGATTTTACGAAAAGCAATATGAACCTCACATTGACCAAGAGTTACTAATAATAGATTTCTATACTGTTACTCCTCTTTGATTACATTATTGAGTTCTGTTATATGATTACCTGTCTCATTATTGCGAGCGGTGAATTTCTCGTGTATTCTCCGAAACCATCATACGATTCATAAATCATCGATACATGTACAATACATGTATTAAGGCTGCCCAATTGTGTTTATTCTACACCTCCTGTATATGTATTGCTGTAATGGATGTCTCAGATAAGAAACTTAAAATCATCAATTTTGATAATAACATTCCTTTAATGCTATATAAAGATTTGCGGAGGATGAAATAGCGTTTACTTGTAAAGGAGAAGGTTCGGTAAGCGCTCATTTCGGTCTAAAATTCAAAGTACTTTTGATGAAAGATTTTTGACATTTTTTAAGCACTTGAGCGTCTACTTCAGTCGATTCAATTCGTTTATGTTCAAGATTTGAACAGATTTGTTCATTAAAGACGCTCAAAATCAAGCTTAAATATGACAAAACTTTCAAATAGCCGTAAAACGTCACTTGTCAGATGTTTTTTGTCTAAGATGGAAGTGGCCGCAATCGTGTTCATTCTCAACATTTCTATATGTTGTGTTTTATCATTAAATACAACACATATTTAAATATTAAGATTGAACACAAGTGCGGCCACTTCCATTTTAGACCAAAACCGTCTTAAAATTAGCACAAATGCTAAAATTGTGAAGATTTTAGTATTTTTGCATGAAATAATGATGCTTGTACCTGATGCATGTGCATTGTATTGACAAAACCAGCCCATAGTTATGTAACGAAAATATTCAACTTTTCAATAAAAAGCTAAAAGTTTACATTTTAACAGCTTTATAAAAATGCTATATTTTGGGGTGAAAAAGGGGTCTTACCGGGCCTACTACTTTAAACCTGTTTTGTATCGTTGTTGCATGCTCTCGAGTACATGAAGTTCAGATGGTAGTTAATTCAATTCGTTTCTGATCAAATCAATGACTTTGTAATTTGTATTTGCTGTTTGTTCGATAAACATGCGACAGGTAGGAGAACAGGAAATGTCTCTTCGGTCTTGAGTAGATATAATGTGTAATGGTATGTGGACATGTCTTCCTGAGGACTATTACTTAGTGATCTAGCGCGTTTAAAATCATTCTCAACATGTCAGCGTGTTGTCTTCCTGATTTGCATGTTTTGTCACTGGACGTAAAGCACATATCAATAATCATAATCAACATTTATTTACTGTTGATATATTCTTCAGATGCAATGCAGTCTGTGAATTCATCTACAGATGAGGGTCGTAAGTTTTATTCTAATCTATGATTGTGCTATATATATTAAATTGTCATTTATTTTTATATTGTGTATTTAGAACTAGATTTCATTCATTTGGCCACTGCAAATTAGCAATTTCGAAGACAGACCTAACATTGATTCCAACGTAATCACACGACTACTAACTCATATATTGCTTACCCACTCAAATGAAATTGATTAAACAAAACTGATGCTAAACGATCTAAATAAAAAAGGTAATTTCTTTTAACAATTTCCTTTGACGCCATCAGAACTTATTATATCTACAAAACAAATATTTCTCTTACAATTCTCATTGTTTAATATCTGTCATCACATAAAAGTTATGAGCAAAAAGTCAAATCTCAAAAATACTGATCTCCGAGGAAAATTCAAAAAGGAAAGTCCCTAATCAAATTGCAAAATCAAAAGCTCAAACACATCAAACGAATAGATAATAACTGTTATATTCCTGACTTGGTACAGGCATTTTCTTATGCAGAAAATGGTGGATTAAACCTGGTTTTAAAGCTGGCTAAACCTCTCACTTGTATGAAAGTCGCAGAGCAAAACGACATGTGTCACTACTCAAATGTAGGTTTTTGGTTTCCAGAGTAGGATTGCCACTTTTATATCATTTTAACCTTTTATGAAACAAATGTACAGTTGATAACAGCAAAACGGAAAAAGTGCTGAAAAGGGGACAATACAAATACTTCATCTCCTCGTATCTAAAATGCAAGCAGAACAAAAAACCGTTAAAGCCTTACCTTCTAATTACAATTAATAAGATAATACGAAAATTATGATAATTATAACAAGAAACATGAGAAATTTGATATATTTTATAGTCGTGTTTCGAGAAACGCTGGCTGACAAGACCTGTTATGAAGGTGACAGAATCAGCTTAGAATGTGTAGTAGGAGGAGGGAAGAAACCAAGCAAATGGTATAAAGGGGACGAAGCTGTGCTATCAGATAATATTCGTGATGAATCTAAAGATCAAACATACAAACTGAGCATTTTGTATGCTACAAGAAAAGACGCAGGAGTATACACTGTATTGATTGGAAATGAAACAAGAGATGTTCGATTGAATGTAATTGGTATGAATTTGTATACTGATATTCACTCTAACGGAATGTATTTCATGCGAGCCATTAGATTGATGGATATTTTCACATGGCTCGGGCCGTTGCCGTTAATTTTTTTTTTTTTTTTTTTTTTTTTTCAAATGCAATCTTAAACACAGCGTCTCGGCATATTGTTTGCACATAGGTAACAGTAAACTTGGATATATGTGGCAGATAAATTGTGAGAGCCATCAATATGTACATCTCTGAGTCTGCGCTCTATACATATATATCTAGAATGTTATCACGCTATTGTTTACAAGGCGAAAGAATCACGTCATAAATAAAATCTGATTAAATGGCAAGTTAGCTAGTAGTTTCTTTTAAGTTTTGATTATTAATAAAATAATAAAATTATTGAACGTGTGATCGCACGGCTGTAGCAGATGCGTTTTCCACTAGACTCGAAAAAATGCAACAGCCATGATCAATGCCGATTCGATATGGTCATGGGCAATAATATATATTTATAATGTATATATATATATTTATATATAAAACGTCTAGATATTAGGCAAAGATCTTTCTTACGAGGGGGCTGTATTGTTCCGAGTAACGATACATGTACACAATACATGGATTATATAAACGCTTAAAATGTGTACAAAACAACACCAATATTAAAAAAAGGAAACATTAAATGAAATTATCTATGAATATTTCGGATAAAAGATAACCTTCATCAGAATGATTATGACGTAAAATATCAATCTATTCTGATTCAAAACTAGAAGAATCTCAAAATTTATACAATTAAAATCGAACAACGCTTGTACAATTCTAAAATTTCAAAAATGACGTAGGTTAGGTATTTACAAAGAGACTGCATAGAAATGCAAAAATAGTAATGTGCGATATGAACTGGTACATTTCTCAAATTTCACAGGGGACGAAAGTTAAGATATTACAAAAAAGACTGCGTATATAATTATATATATTTACAATTGTATGTTTGTTTTTTTAATTTTCTTATGATACATTGTATAAATGCTCTAAAGATACATTTGAGAAACTCTCCAATCATTACAAGCACCATTGCTGCATACCAGTTGAAATTTGATTATTAATAAATATTTAAGGCAGTTTGATAAATATTTAATGTACACGATTTCAACAAAATAAATTCATCTGAAATAGTTGCATATAACATATGCTATATATAGTTGCTTTTATTTTAGAAAGACCACCTTTTCTAATAAAACTTCGTATGTACCAACAAGAGTTAGCAGAAATTGCATTAAGAGGTGAAAACACAATTATTTGCGCCGGAACTAATGCTGGGAAAACATACGTGGCTTTCCATGTGATAGAAAGTCACTTGTTAAAAAATCCAAAAGGTACGTTTTTTTTTTTCTCATAGCGGTTTGCAACACATAGCAGGATCAATTTTCTTAACTTTAAAAACATCTGAAAGAAAAATACAAATCTCTTAAAGTAGCAAAATAATATATTATCGATAACAGATACAGCATTTAACTCAAATTTTAAAGATTGTCTATTTAATTATTTTTTTTTCTTTTCATGTAAAAGTATTTTTCAAAGCCGCAAATTTGATGATATATGACAGTTTTGAATATGTTAACTACTTATTCTGTTTATTGAATATTTTGTATTGTTTTTAAAAACAGTGTTTGTAAAGTTCATACTTAGATTCATAAAAGATTTTTTTAATCGACTAGTCAAATAAAAAAAAAGTGTATATGACCTTACATTAGGGAGATATCACGGGCAATTGCACTATTTTTTTAAACTTTTTTTTTATTCGAGCGTCAATGATGGGTCTTTTGTAGACAACACGCGCGTCGGGCATACGAATTGTTAATCTTGGTATCTATGATGATTTTTTTTTATAGTAAAGAAATATGAAAACACATTCAATTTGAAAATAATCACAGTTAAAATATACATATTTGCTCTCATTTATTAATTATAATAATTAATGTATAATTATTCAGCAGGAAAAGTTGTGTTCATAAACAAGACAAATGTATTACTAGGACAGCAGTACAAAAGGGCATGTGATACTTTTACAACACTTCAAATTCAGGTAAACCATGAATAAACATGACTTTGATTTGCTGATATGATGATTTCATCTTTCACGTATTACTGTATTTCCCTTATAACTTCTACAGAATGACAATATACGTCAATTTATTTAGATGCTTCGGTTGCGATAAATTAATTATAATATTGAGTGGGACATCGCCTTTAAAACTTTGCTTGTACAGTAAGAGGTTAATATTTATATTCATTTTTCATTTGCAATGAATGAAAAAAAAAAAATACAATTCAGATAAATAATTAGCACCATGACTTGTTCACTTTACTTTGTACATGTACTAAATTATAACATTTTGTAAATATACTGCAACTAGTTATTCATGAGTTTTATAAATTGCACATGTGGTCAGACAAGAAAAGCAATAACTCGTTTTATCTATCCCCATTTATAAAAAAAACCCAGTAAATATGAACTATTTCTTGCTAATTCGACTGATATCAATTGGGACTCACTAAAATATCTTTAACTTTTATTCACAAGTTATAAGTTAATTCTTCCTTTTCCTTAAATAAACAATGAAGTTGTTAATACTATAATCTAATATTTCGGGAAGATAACATAAGGACACAATTTCACAGACGACATTCAAAATTTGAACAGGTATATAAAAGTGTGACGTAAATCAGTCATCGTCATAAAAATGCACATTTAAGGAAATTATTATTATTTTTAGAATAACGTTGCAAAGGATCAAAAGTCAATAGTGTTCAAATGTCGTCGTAATTCTTTTTGATTGTGAAAACCTCACGATGAAATAGCGGTGAAAAGGTCTATCACTCAAAATAAAATATCAATAAAATATGAATGTACTTCACATTTATTAAATCATTGCATATGTTTTGTCTCAATTATTAACAAGGATTTCTTCTTTTAAGGGTAAAATCAAAATATGGAAAGCTGAAGATGACGACAGTGACAATTTTGAAAAGGAAATTGGCAAAGCCAGTTTAATATTTTTGACCCCCAAATCTTTATCCAACCACCTTATAGATAGTGCAGCAGTTAAAGTTTCTATAGAGATTTTCACATTGATTATTTTTGACGAATGTCATCATACACATGATAAAAGTGTTTACAACGAATTGATGTCGTATTATAGAATAGCAAAGTATAGTGGAAAGACACATCGACTCCCACAGGTACAGATTTTACATTACTTGAGTCAGTCTAGAACCATTGTTAATTAGTTCGAACTACTAACTAGGATTCTCCTGTTTTGTCTCATTCAAACTACAGTTCTTCCGATTCTTAGGAAAATTCAAAACATCTTTTTACCTGAATTTTTTGTCGATTGTTCCAATTTGAATTAGTTCGTTTTATATCTATTTCGTTCATTCTATAAATCAAATTGCATGATCTATCAGCAGAAGCATTGCAAAAGACAATTGTGAAATTCATAAGACTATCATGTCAACGTTCAGTTAAGTTTAGGTTTGTTGACAAAGACCAAATTTGGAAATTCATAATCCAAAGATCGTTCTGGTTATTTGCGTAATAATCCTTCATTAAGCAAAAATAAATTTTGAGAATAAAATAGTTGAAACGACTAAAGTATATTTTTATGTCTTCAGTAAAGTTCATGTAAACCTTGACTTAAGTATGATTATCAATAAAGTAAGATTTAGAAAAAAAAATTTAAATACGTTTACGATATTAATTGTTGTAGAAACTTCTAATTATATATATGTTTTAAGATACTTGGATTGACAGCATCACCAGGTACAAACAAATCTAAAGACCTGGCGTCAGCAAAGGATCATTTAACAAAAGTTATGGCAAATTTGGATGTATCAGAACTGTCTGTTGTCAAACGAAATAAAGAAGAACTACTTCAATATACATCAATTCCAGAAAAAGGTATTTGAATTAGTATTTGTTAAATGGTAATAAACACAGACACATTGAATTGCAAAGGGCCAAATTACAAATGTAAGCTACACAGCTTTATTGTGTTTTATATCAGACTTCATTGTAACGGTATTTTTCAATCATCTATACTACTAGAATAACAATGTCCGATTTGTTAGCCGACATAACGTAACAACGACGAATCAAAGAATTCAAATTTATATATAACTAATACATGTAATATAGGACAATGGCGTTGATTAAAAATTGCACCATTCCCAGCCCTATTGTTTTTCACATAATTAATATTACCAATAATTAACAAGTTCCTGATCGAATCTGATCCCGATACCAATAGTATATGTCACATGTAGTTTCCGGTTGTATGTATGTTCAGAATCATCTTCCTTTAATTGAATACAACACAATGGGGTATGGTGTAAAGGAGGGCATTTCATACTCTGTATCGGTACAGATTTAATGTGAACACTTCCTTACCCCGTTTCCCAGCCTTGCCATGATGGTCTTACTACCAGAAATCAACTACCTCCAAAACAATTAGTAAAATTGAGAATGGAAATGGGGAATATGTCAAAGAGACAACAACCCGACCAAAGAGCAGACAACAGCTGAAGGCCACCAATGGGTCTTCAACACAGCGAGAAATTCCCGCACCCGGAGGTGGTCCTCAGCTGGCCCCTAAATAAAATTGTGTACTAGTTCAGTGAAAATGGACGTCACACTAAACTCCAAAACATATAAATGAACTTAAATTAAAAACAGATACAAGACTAACAATGGCCAGAGACTCCTGACTTAGGACAGGCGCAAGAATGCAGCGGGGTTAAACATGTTTTGTGAGATCTCAACCCTCCCCTATACCTCTAGCCAATGTAGAATAAAGAAACACATAGCAATACGCACAGTAAAACTCAGTTTAAAATACAATGCATTAAAACACACGCACATACACTCACCTGATTCGCTCATCCTCAAAAATAAAAAAAAGGCAAAATATAAAAACAATTAGATACAAAATATGGGATAAGGTTGTAGTTAGAAAACCAGGATGGGTTCAATAAGTAAGATTTTGAAAGCAGAGAAAACTGTGCACCTTAAAATCAGCATGACTATATCAGATGACAATACAAATATTGAAAATATTAATAAGGCGTTGGTAATTTAATTCAGTCACGGACCATGTCGCGGGTGTGTTCTAGTATATGTTAAAGTTATGACGGCGATGAAAATTAGAGTCCAATTAAATAAAACAGCAGAATATCTTGGAAGATTGAGGAAGATATATTTACAGTTTTTAATTATACTTGATTCAAAGTATCTTAATTAATACTATTGGTGAATTGTTATCCTCTGCAGGTATCATCAGCTCAGTTTTTGGTACGTCGACTCAGGTTCTTAATTTTTTCTATTGATAAATTTGAAAATTATTTAGAAACCAAGGTTCTAATTCCATCCGGCAATGTTGACCGTAGTCGGGTTTGGCTTTTCATTAGTATGTCCCTTTTGATATTATAGCTTCTTGTATATTTGTGCTTTCTATATTTCCAAAAAATATGTTTTGAACATTTTTGATGAAAGTAACTCCACCAAAAAAAAAACGTGTAAGAGGAATCAAATTATAAAATGTTATTGTCATTCAGTTGAAAGATTCTTTGAAATTAAGGTCTTATTGGTCTTTTTGTACGTCACCGTGAATGAAAATGAATGGACGAGTCGAGGTTTTTGAACACATTTAGTCATAAAGTAATATATCGGTTGAGCATTGATTTCCAAAAGCATTATTTTACTATTCCAAAAGAATGTGGTACAATGTAATTACTACCTACAAATAACAGTATGCTTTTGTTTGTTATAGTTACCAACCAGTTTGCATTATTTATCAGATATTTTTTTTAATCTTTTTTAAATGCAACTCTTAGTACATACCCTTTACATTATTGATTTTGGTTTCTTTGTGTCTTTTGGTTGCTGTCTCATTGACGTATACATTGTACCTCATGTAGCCATTTATATTAGTAATAAATTTGATGAAAAGCTTACAGTTAAAACTTAATCCTATTTTTTTTTCTTTAAAGGGATTCTAAATAAACTCATCATAGATACCAGGATTGACATTTTGTACGCCAGGCGCGCGTTTCGTCCACAAAAGTGGCGTTCGAATAAAACAAATGTTGAAAAGGCCAAATAAAGTACAAAATTGAACAGCATTGAGGACCCAAATCCTTAAAGTTTTGCCAAATACAGCTAAGGCAAAGTATTCCTGAGGCAGTAAAAGAGGATACTATCAAAATAATATGTCCAAAGTTCTGATAAGGAAACTATACAAAAATATCGAACGTACAAAATGTAACATCACTATTTGTGTTGGCTTTAACGTTTGACTTCGGTTGTTCTGTCAATTGCAAAGTTCTTGAAGTTCATAGTTCACATTATGAATAACCAAGGTGCACATGTAACACATTATCTTACATAATGGAATTTTATGCGACTGTCAAGTGAGAGGTTTAGCTAGCAATAAAACCAGGTTTTATCCACCATTTTCTACATAAGAAAATGCCTGCACCAAGTCAGGAATATGACAGTTGTTATCCATTCGTGACAAAATTGTGTTTTGGTGATGGTGATGTGTTTGTAGATGTTACTTTACTAAACATTCTTGCTCCTTACTATTATCTCTATCTATAATGAACTTGGCCCAGTAGTTACAGTGGAAAATATTTTGTAAAAATTTACAAAAATTTACAAAATTTATGAAAATTTTAAAAAATTGACTATAAAGAGCAATTACTCCTTAAGGGGTCAATTGACAATTTTGATCATGTTGACTTATTTGTAGATCTTACTTTGCTGTACATTATTGCTGTTTACAGTTTATTTCTATGTATAATAATATTCAAGATAATAACCAAAAGCTGCAAAATTTTCATAAAATTACCAATTCAGGGGCAGCAACCCAACAATGAGTTGCCTGATTGGTCTGAAAATTTCAGGGCAGATAGATCTTGACCTAATGAAAATTTTATTCTCGTCAGATTTGCTCTAAATGCTTTGGTTTCAGAGATATGAGCCAAAAGCTGCATTTTACCCTATGTACTATTTTTTAGCCATGTCGGCCATCTTGGTTCGCAGGCGGGGTCATCGGACACATTTTGTGAACTATATACCCTAATGATGATTGTGGACAAGTTTGGTTAAATTTGTCTTAGTAGTTTCAGAGGAGAAGATTTTTGTAAAAGATTACAAAAATTTACGAAAAATGGTTAAAAATTGACTATAAAGGGCAATAACTCCTTAAGGGGTCAATTGACCATTTTGGTCAAGTTGACTTATTTGTAGATCTTACTTTGCTGAACATTATTGCTGTTTACAGATTATCTCTATCTATAATAATATTCAAGATAATAACCAAAAACGGCAAAATTGCCTTAAAATTACCAATTCAGGGGCAGCAATCCAACAACGGGTTGTTTGATTCATCTGAAAATTTCAGGGCAGATAGATCTTAACATGATAAACATTTTTACTACAGTCAGATTTGCTCTAAATGCTTTGGTTTCAGAGATATAAGCCAAAAACTGCATTTTACCCCTATGTTCTATTTTTAGCCATGTCGGCCATGTTGGTTGGCAGGCGGGGTCATCGGAAACATTTTTTAAACTAGATACCCTAATGATGATTGTGGCCAAGTTTGGTTAAATTTGGCCCAGTAGTTTCAGAGGAGAAGATTTTTGTAAAAGTAGACGGACGACGGACGACGACGACGGACGCCAAGTGATGAGAAAAGCTCACTTGGCCCTGTGGGCCAGGTGAGCTTAAAATGTAATCATCATCTTTGCTTTCTTATTCGTTTTTCGTGGTGTGGTTAGGACTAAGTATCACTTTATTTGGTATCAAGTTCAGTATAGAATACAACGTATAATGTCTGTTAAGTAGTGCGTAAAATAACTCATTAATTCGAATTGTTTTAATAGTGGAAGAACATTAAACATGTTATGAAAAGAGAACAAATTCCACGAAAAAGACATAAAACACACGTGTACAAAACTATTTATTTGCATGCCTTTATATTTTGTCGAACACAGAATATTTCCAATAAAGTAAAAACAGGAACAGTCGTGTGAGATCTGGCATTTTTTTTCAATTGAAAGCAAAACATGATGCTTATTTACACATGTACGATTAAACCTTCTTGCGCAAGTTAGATTAAACAAATAAAAATCTAAAAGAAATCGAACGAAATGCCCGAACTCATTTTTCTGCTCCATGATTAAAAGGAAATGTTGGGCAAACGTCTATTAGACCGTTCCAATCCAATCCACTGACAAAAAACATCAAATCAATTTAGTGTTTTTCAACAATTAACTGGTGTCCACAAGATATATATCAAGCTATACATACCGAGTCAATTACAGTGATTATTCTAAATCAAACAACCTACAATCGAAAAATCAAAATACATTTTCTATGCAAATAATTTTATACAAACTATGCGATCTTTTTCTGCTTTAATACTTATATCCAGATATTTCTGGTATTTGTAATATTAACTTTAACTAGCCCTAAAAAAGTAAAGACAAAGAGATTTTTTTAACTAATTCAGTGGCCCTTAGAAAAATATGCATTTTCAACTAAATAAAATAATAAGAGTTCCTTTCACATTTATAGATGTAGCTTATATCATGCTTTTTCAAAAATATAATACAAAATATTTGTTATTTTTCACGCTACAGGTTGTGCAACATGATCAGATTATGTATATATTGTGTATGGAAAATCCAATTTTGTGTGTAAAAAAGAAAACTAAATCATAGAATTTTACGAAAAAATATGAGAATATAGTACTTAAAATGTGCTTTCAGATACATGTAGGGAAAAGAAAAATTAAGGTCATCTGACTCGTTTTCTTGCAACATAATAAAATATGTATATTCAGAACACATTTTATTATAAAAGTTACTTTATCTGTTTTATCTTCCCTTATATGGCAAAGTTGAACAAAATTGAATCAAACAAAAATATTTTGTGTTTTGTGAAATACAGCTATAAAATATGATAAAACACATACAATTGAAAAGCCTAACACATGAAGTACACACTACTCTCGAAATTTGCACATTTCATTTAAAATCTAGACCGATTGTTATCTGTTATTTCAAAACCCAAGATGGAGGAAGACACCCGAGCTACCTTAAACGTATTGATATATTAATTATGAAAACCAATATCTTGTCAAAGATGAGATAAATCGTTGCTTAAGCAGTGGTTAATTTATAAATTATCATAACGAAATATATCAACCCTGTCGGTTTTGCAAGTTCGCCTTGATTGCGGGAGGTTGTGTATTTGATAAGATTAAACCAAATAAAACCTTTACTTGTTGATTTTCCGCTGATTATGCCCTATTACGAAATGAAGACGAAGACTGGTCGGCTGTCTATCAGAAAATATTGTGCAAATTGGTATATCCAAGTATTGCTATGAACTGCTATGCATAGTTAATCTACTTTGAGTATATGTGTATGATGGTAAAATATGTTTTTTTTGTTTCAGTTCCTATTACATCATCTACCAGAAAACATGATCCTTTGAAAGATATTATATTTAGAGCAATGGAATACGTTGAACATAAACTGAACTCTCGAATAGGTAAAATAACATAGTTGTGCAATCAAATTTGTTTATCCTGCGATTGAACTTTCTACTGTTCAAATACATGTGTAAATATACATTTAAACGACTACTCGATTGACGTATAGTATACGCTGATAGTCACCGGGTAGACGGCTTGTGTTGCAGTTGCGTTTAAACTACTTCTAACTTAGCAGTTCAAATCGGGGTCTTAATCGCTGTCCGGTTATCTGATGCGTTTCAATAACAAATTTATTCAGTTTAGATGTTAAATTGCAGGATGGAAACAATACTTGTAGTAAGAGTGAATAAAAAATCTAAACAATACAAGATATAAGAGCCACGTTTCATCTCTGTTTCTAAAGCTCGCACAAGTAAATTTTATATGTTCCTAGCTTGTACGAATAATATATAAATCTGGAAATGTCATCAATTTAATCTTGATTATAATACAATGTTTATTTTAAATTGGTTGATATTTTTTTTTAAATTATGTTTCATTTATATGCAATTAAAGCAACATTAACAAGGTTGGTATGTATCTGTACCATGCAACAAGTCTGCAGGTTTTTATGCCCTTACTAATGCGTATTGTTTTCATGAATTATAGCATCAACATGACGAAAAGAAAATATGTCTAATTTAAACATCTTGAAATGTTGAAAGTAAACATCATTTAAACATAAGTATCTGAAAAAAATATTGCCTTTTAAATGTTTATTTCAAATGAAAATTTACAAAATTCATTCTGTAAACTAATTTGTAGACTGCTTGTTTTCTAACTTGCTGAATATATATTTTGAGAAAAAAATTCGTTAGGGCCTATCAATATTTAACATTATGTTGATTAGTGCTGCCCTAATATTTTCATATCGAGACTGTGTCTTCTGAACCAATCTACTCAAGGTATTACTTTCGTTCTAAAATATCTGAAAAAGTGTAACACAAATACAAAAATCCAAGGCATATTCAAAAAGGGGAAATCCATAAAAACAGACAAAATCAACCGTTATCAATCAAGGAAGAAGTAGAACAACTGCCATATATTACTTGGTACATGCATTTTTCAAAGACGCCAACAAAAAAAGATGTAGTAAATAGTAATTACTCATCAAAGATGTTAACAATGTGTACGCCAGACACGCTTTTCGTCCACAAAAGACTCATCAGTGACGTTAATTAGACAATGACGTCACTGACAAAAATACAAGTATTTGTCGTTGATACATGAAGTATATACCTTATACAATTTACACTTTCTCGATAAAGTAAAATAAAGTTAGTAGGAATACAAGGTTGAACAAAAAACAAACAACACTGTAAAGAAAACCTTTGTGTCCGAATCTCATATCAGGACCACCTACACCATGAATGGCCAAAGTTGAAATGTCAAAAAACCAATAGCCAGATACATAAACATATTAACACGAAGACAATTACAGGAGGTAATTTTACTGTTGGCAGCATGCTTTAATCATTTTTTAAGTAACGGTCATCAATAAAATAATGTTCAGCCAATGGTTAGGACAGTCACATAACTTTCATTGAGTTGAACAATCTGAAAATTAATCACTATTTCCTGATTGTTATAAAAAAGATATGTAATTGTCTTTTTGTATATCATAGAAATTGTTAAGGGAATGAAAATATTTTTCAATGTTTTGATTAGAAGAAAGTATACCATATCACACATGCACTGTCATGCAGTGACCTACTTCAAGGTGCTGTTTCGATTGGTGTTTTTAAATGAATTGCAATTAAAATAGGCAAAGAAAGAGTTTCTTCAAAACGAGAACAAATTGCCTAGGTTAAGTGTACATTCTTGAAAACGAGGTGACTCAAAATCGTTAGAACTAGTCTAGGCACTTTGAAATTGAACTTTTCTATTAAGCTTATCAAATCTTTGATTTTGTAGTTTCAAACTTTTTGAGTGAAATTCTACACCAGAATAGGGACTTATATGAAGCATTACATAATCCACCGATTCAAAGAACGGAAGTCCGGTACATACAGTGGATCGGAGAAACTAAAGAAAAAGTAGAACATGTATTACATAAAGATTCAAAAGTACCACGATTGCTTCATGCATGTCTGAGACATTTAGAGGTATATCAGACTTAAAAAAAAAAAAAAACCGATCTCAGAGGAAAATTCTAAACGGAAAGTCCCTAAGCAAATGACAAAATCAAAAGCTCAAACACATCAAACGAATGGATAACAACTGTCATATTCCTGACTTGGTACAGGCATTTTCTTATGTAGAAAAATTGTGGATAAAATCTGATTTTATAGCTAGCTAAACCTCTCACTTGTATGACAGTCACATAAAATTCCATTATATTGTCAACATGTGTGAACAAATTAAACAGACATAGTAGGTAAAAATGTCAAAAATAGGTATACAGGAGTCAACATTGTGTTATAATCTTAATCACTATAAAAACAAACAAATATGTTAACAAAGAAAAACAAAAAGGCATATAGACAAAGCCCATTAGCAAAAACGATAGACAAGAATACAAAAATGTTAACACAATGACGGGATGTATAAGTACCGAGCCACGTCAAATGGATTTTACCAAAAATAGACTAAACAGTAAAAGTAATAATTTACAAAGACAAATAAAAAAATACTATAACACGTAATTAAGATGATAAACAACATCAGTACCTAGAATCTATACTTCAAGACCATCGTGTATTATTTGTGAAGTTGATACGGAATATACATGCAATTAATAGAATTCGATGATCGATACTAAAAAAGTGTCAAACCTTTATGAGGGATTTGTGTTAAATGTAAAGAGCTGAACTTTGATCAGCGTCTTATTCATATGATACTGACTTAATGATACATCTTTGTGTAAAAGGTGACAAAAAGGCATTATTATCTGGGATTTTACTTCAAGCAATACAACGGATTCAGCATACAACATTAATTTTAAACTATTTCATGACATCTGCATAATCTCAAACTGTGAGGGCTTTGTGTGGCAATTTTTTTTCTATTTTGTAATGTGATTTGCTTGTTCAACTTTAAACATAATTATAATATGTTGATATATAAAGGCAACAGTAGTATACCGCTGTTCAATAGTCATAAATCGATTAAGCGAAAAAAAATCCGGGTCACAAACCAAAACCGAGGGAAGCACATCAAGTACATGTATACGAGGAAACTGATAGACTATGATAGTAACCTAACGACAAAAATATATTTTTTGGGTAAAGAATATACAATGCAAGTCGTTTTCGGTCTAATTCATTAAAAATATCAACATTTTCAAAAAAGTCTAAAAACAGTTAACCGAAAAAACAACAAAAAAAGAGGTTCCTGACCAAATCCTTTATGATTTATATTTCCTCGATTCATTGTTTCATTGTTTCATTGTTTAGTTTTCCCTTTGAACAATATCCCGATGTATGTAAGTTTCAAAGTTTTTCTTTGCAGACGTTTGTTGTTATACAAAATATCTCAATGATTTGAGGGAAATGAGTAGTCGGGATCGGGGACAAGAAACTTTTCTATCATCATCAATGAAATTTTAAAATGAAAAATCAAACGCGAAAGATCATTCTAAAATTGTTAACAAGCCCAACCATATTACCACCCCATCTTTGTCCCCATCTCCACCTTAATCTCTCTTTGTTTCGCCTGCTATGGCTTCCGAAGCTTTTATTTTGCTATTTATCAGATGAAAAAAAGTTAAGAAAATTGGGTTAAGTTAAGGTCAATGTAACGATACATTATAATTACATTTCCTAATTTTTAGTTGTATACAGAATGTCTTGAAATCAATGCATTGCTGGAAATTGATCAAGTTCGTGACGTGATCATGCAGGGATATGCAAATGAATCTTTTGCAAGTCAGAGTGCAAATACAGAAGAGGAGAGGGAAATCGTATCCAAATTACGAGGTAATTTTTTTTTATAATACATCAATTCACTAATTAATATATACGCTTAATAAATAGGGGTAATAGTTCGGGTTAACAAATATCAATATCGCTTTAAACACATCAGGAAAGAAAACAAGTGATCAGTTATCTCTTTATAAGATACTTCATAACTGTACAAATAACACATATTAGAGTATAAATATGAAACACTAGGTAAGTTCCAAGCTTTAAAAAGTGCATGTGTTTACGGAGTATATCTCATATAGCAAACTTATCTATTAAAATCGTGTAGGCCTAAACCACCGCTACGTTTTTGTTATGTGACCTCAACATTACGAAGAGCTTCCATCCATGCACATTGGATTATCTAAAAATATGAAAAGGTGTTATTGATTTTGGCTTGAATAGAAATACATTTTGAGACCTATTCCACAAATACATTCGAAAATGATTGAGGGTATTAAAATTTAATGTTTAACTTTTACAAACAAAATTATTAAACAGTCGTGTATTCATTTTGTATTTATTTTGCCACTATTTTGGTATAAATGTGAAAAATATCCATTTACATTTAATAAGATGCAACCATTATGTTAACCTGTGTGTTCTGAGACACATCATAGTGTTATTTTTTTCCCGGAAGACGTGTTTGCTGAAATTCGAGAAATAGGAAGATACATAGAGGGTAATCCTGATATAAAGGTCGTTATTGAAAAGATTGAAAACGAATACAAACAATTAGAAGAAGATTCAAGATTTATTATATTTGTAAAAACCAGAGCAACAGCAATAGCCTTAGCAGAGAGACTTCCAAGTTATCTTCGTAGTACTTACCTGACTGGTTCTCACAAATCTGTAGAGGAAGGAGGTAATTACCTTTAATAACATACAGATGAATTTTATGTTTGATGACAAGGTCCATAGCGTAGCAAACATGAAGTCTTTTTATATTATGGAATGGTTAAATCAGTACACCGTCTTTTAGTTTGAAAGTCGTGTTGTGCATTTTGTATTGCATTTGTCATTGCCATGTTGGTGTGTTTATTCCCGGACGTCTTTTATTGTAGATTAAATGGTGATTGTTCTGCCATATTTGACAACTTAAAACGAAAAATCATAATCTATTTTGTTTGCATATCAAATGCGTGTAATTTTTCTACAAATTTCGAATAAAATAACATAAACTCGTTTAAGTTGTAAATAAGGAAAAAAGTTAAAAGCCTTGTACCACTGTTGTAATAATTGATAGTCTATTAAATTATTATTATTAGAAATCTAACGAAATATATAAAGTAAACTTAGATTTGAGGAAATAATAAATTTGCATAAAAGATATTTGAAACAGGAGGAGTTGCAAGCCTAAAGTGAGTTACTCTCTCCTGTTTTGGAATGAGTGCAAATCATTTTATATATTTTTCGACGATGGTCGTATATTTGTTTTATGCAGCAAAACTATCAATCAAATATAGTTTTGCCTCAAATTCTGACAGAAAACATCACCGCTTAAGAGCGGACCACGGGAACGACACTTCTATTAATAGTTTTATGTAATATATGACAAATAAAGGTTTCTTATTGAAATGTATTGTAAAGTGAATTAAAAACGTGTCCGTTACACAATGTATAGTTGATATTAGTACATTTCTTGTTTTAATACCAGGTCGCCCTCCTGACCAACAGATAGAAGTGTTGGAGAAGTTCAGAAATGGTGAACATTTATGCATTGTTGCCACGTCAGTAGGATGTGAGGGACTCGATGTTCCGCAATGTAATATGATGATCCGTTATAGATTTAGTGCAGATGAAATAAGCAGCTTGCAAATGCGTGGTATGGATTATTTAAAAAAATCGTATTTTTTCACTTTTGCAATATATTATTACACCAAATCGACAAATATATAAGTATCAATGCATTCAAATGAAAGCAATTGACACACGGAAAACATATTTCAGATTTAAAACAGACATGTGGCCAATTAATTTTACAAATACATGAAATAATTAATTACATTTCAATTATATCAAAGAATACCTCAATTAAATCACAATACATTGTCAGAACATAAATATTTCTAAAATGTATGAAATTGCAAGTCTCTTTCATTTTGTGCAATTGTATCGACAGTTTTAATGTACTGACGATGAGTTAAATCTTTCTGGTCTTAACATTTGTGCAAGCTGAGGTTATGCTGTTCAACTTCTGTTGATCTTGCAGGTATTTTAAAAAATATAATATGCTGCATAGCCGAACATGGGCATTTATAATTTAATTAATTGCACATACATGTACAAAGAATACTATGACTTACTTATTTTTATGATATTTGTTGGTAAGTCAGGGACAACCTTTCAATGTGCAGTTCGGGGAGAATATTTGTAATCCTTTAATTCAGCTTCTTATATATGCATTACATTAGATCCATTTTCCTTTGAAAGCTTTTTGAGATTGGTAATCACAAAACAGACAATACTATAAATTCCGAAATTATTGAGAGGTCTTTGTTAACATGATTGATAATGCGACTTGGTAATCATCGCAAAAATCAGAACTGCATTCTAATATCTGATACAAAATTCTGTACGCAGATTTGCCTTAAATCGCAATAATTAATCTTGCATTTTTGTCCATTCTTCAAAAATCGAAATGATAAATGCAAGCAAGAATTTCTAAATTGACAGTACTCTTTTGCAGTAATCTGTTTAAAGCCATTCAGTACTAATATATTTACATCAAAAAGTTACTAACTGTAGGTCAAGGTACGGCCTTAGAAAATAAGTAAAATCCATACGCCAGCTTTTAAATGTCCGTAATGACAATTGTTAAACAACTCAAGCCAGAAAACTAACAGTTTGATGTATGTTCACAACAATTCACGAAAAACAAATATAATATAAAAAAAACAGACACAAACTACTGAATTGCAAGCTCCTGACATTGGACAGGTACATATAGAATGTGTCGGGGTTAAACATGTTTAAGAGTGCATTATCGTTTCCCTAACCTGGGACAGTGATGTAATAGAAAGCATAAGAACAAACTATAAAAATCAGTAGGAAAGGGCAACTAAAACATGTTTGCTTTTGACATGGGCGTTGTCAGTTCGTATTCAACTTATGAGTTTGAATGTCCCTTTGGTTTCTTTTGCCTTTCGTATACAAATTACAGATCATATATATATATATATATATATATATATATATATATATCAAGATCAACTGCATGCATTATAAAAAATTAGAGTCCAATTCAGAATAAATACTATGAAAAGTAAAAAAGTAAAGAAATACCAAATGGCTAATAAAAAGCCACATTCCGACAAAATCAAGCCAAACAGAAGATCAACATACAAATATTAATCAATGAAATTAAAATAAAAACATTCTAAATATCAGCAGAATTTAACACAAAATCGAAATAAAGATAAATTTAAACCAAATTTAGAAGTTAAACAAAAATGAGCAAGAGTATTTCACTATACCAAAGTCACCATCTTGTTTGTTGCTGCTCATATATATAAAGTAGATGTTTATATAAATTAATAAACACTTTTAAAAATTTGTAGGAAGAGTACGCAAGAAGGCAGGTCAAGAGGTGATAGTTGGTACTACAAAAGAATTTGAAACTGAAAAGAAAAACATTCAAAGACAGTATCTAATGACACAAGCCATAGGAGAAATTTCAAAACTTAGTATAGGCAGAGATATAGCTATAGCAGAGAAACTAGTATATGAAAAAGAAGAAAACGAAAGAATAACTCAACAAAAAAAGATGGGTAAAAAAAAGAATGGATTTTTTTCTGTTAACTGTAAATATTGCGGAGTCCTAATCACTGATTATAATCTATTGCGACATGTTAATGAGAAAATGTTCGTTGTTTGTGATAATTTAATACTTACAAGAATAGACAGGATACCATTTCCTAGAAAGAAGCAAACAGAATTTGATGGCTGTAAAAAACTAGATAAAGTATATGGATTGCAGTGTCGACATAGATGGGGTTCGATAATTATCTACAAGGAGTGTGAATTTGTTGCATTATCACAAAACTATGTTAAGATATTTGACTGTCAAACAGATTCATTCATAGACTGTGAAAAATGGTGTGATCTTCCATTCAAAATACAGGAACTGACTAATGATGATTTCATCAATTACAATAAAATGCCTGTTTCAATGTGATATGATTTATACAACAATTTATCAGCTTGTATATGCTTTGATGATTTTGTTTTAATAGGCTCAGCAGTTACATAATTTATGTGCATTGTTTGTAAATTATAAATAAAATACCTGTTTCACAATAACCGGATAATCAATAACCAAGGTCACCAATGCGTTTTCAACATAGCGAGAAAATCCCGCACCAGGAGACAGGCTTCAGCTGATCCCTAAACAAACTGTGTACTAGTTCAGTGAAAATAGACATCATTCTAAACTCCGAACCATATAATCATGATCAATGAACTTAAATTAAAAAAAGCATATAAGACTCACAAAGGCCAGAGACTCCTGACTTGGGAGGTGGTTAAAATGTTTAGTGGGATCTCAGTATGTTTTTTCGATCGAAACACTTTTATTTTTCATTTTCACCATCATATATAAAGGCAACAGTAGTATACCGCTGTTAGAAATTCAATATAATTAAAATAAAGAGGCTCTTTGCAAACCTCAACTCATTTTTATGTGGACTGTACAGTTTTTTCCTTGTACGAAATATGTAAAGATAAGTAACGATGGAGGTTATGCGAAATATAATTGGTTAAGTGTTATCTATTTTTCTGACATGTCGGATGTTGTTAATGTGTGTACTGTCTGGTGTATTGTCCGATTGGTTTTTTAATTCTTGATATGTATTAATAATAATTTTCAAAAATTATAGGGACCACTTTCCTAGCACACGTTTGCAGATCAGTGGTTAAACAGAATTACTAGTATTTTAGTTTTGTCGCTTAAAAAGAATTACTAGTATCTTAATTTGTCGCTTGATTCTTTGTTCTTGGAGTAAAGGAACGTGGGCTATACATTTACAACATACTGCTATATATACAGAGTAATGCCTTAAAATTATCTGATTTTTTTCTAGGTTAATGATTCTGAGGTTTTGTAACAGTTGTCTGTGAGTGGTAGATTTGCACCCTATAATAAGACAAAAATGCATACTTATAATGCTGTCAAGGCTCATGGGGTTTAAACGTCCTGTTGGTATTTTCCGTTTCTTCACAGATGTTTTGTGGTGTAATAGATATGTTAAGATACATATGAACAATTAACAATTAAGAGTTGAGATTCTAAAACCGACACATTTAAGTATGGGATGATTAATTTAATGATCGACTCACTCCGAAAAGCAACATTAAGCATAATTTCCAATAGATTAAAAAACGTTGTGTGTGAAGTATTTACACCTCTTCTAACAATTAGTTGGTTGATTTGATGTTTGAATGATATTAATTCATTTTTCATATATTTTGAATTGGGTTGTGTGAATGGTTGGTAGATAGGTTCATCAATTTATTGATTGATTGATTAATTGACATTTTGCATAATGTCATATTTGACGAGTTACGCATTCATGAATTGCTTTTGTCTAGGTTCTATTGCTTGAATGAATAATTCATTGATAAATGATTGATTGGTTGACAGTTTCATACCTAAAAATATCCTTGAATGTCCCTTCACATATTCCTTTTCTCTAGGGATCATCGAAACTTATTGATCTATTGTGAATGAATTTGATTTTCATTGTAATTTAAAGTAAACTTGGATATTACCTTTTGTTTTTGTGTTCTAACGTGTATCTAACGTACCTTTGTGAATTTGATATCCAGTCGTGTTTGTAATCGAGCAAATCGTCCCCGCGTATTATACCGATAAAATAATATCCATCCTCTTTCTCTTAGTTTAAGAGGGGGACATTTAACCTGTTTATCTCATTCATGTCCAGTGTACAAAGTAGTACCGATATTGTTGACATCGCAAAGTAGACAATGTCGACAAAATATTGTACAAAGTTGTCGATATCGTTTCATACATTGTCTACATCGTTGACATTGACTATATCGCGAAGTAGACAATGTCGACACGATGTTGTACAACATTGTCGATATCATTTCATTCTTCTGTCTACATCGTTGATATTGACGATATCGCGAGGTAAACAATGTTGACACGATATTGTACAACGATGTCGAAATTGTTTCATACCCTTGTCTACATCGTTGACATTGATGATATCGTGAAGTAGACAATGTCAACACGATAGTGTACAACGTTGTCGATATCATTTCATACTCTTGTCTACATCGTTGACATTGCAAATATCGCTAACACATTACTCGTGTTTACCTTTGTTAATTTTGAATACAACGATGTCGACATGGTGTTGTACTACTTTGTCGATATCCTTTCATCATCTCGTCTCTGCATGGTTGGTAATGCCGACATTGCGAAAAAGTCAATGTCAAAACACTGTTTTACAACGTAATCTATAATGTCATCATCGCAAAGATGATGATGATGATGATGATGATGATGATGATGATGATGATGATGATGATGATGATGATGATGATGATGATGATGATGATGATGATGATGATGATGATGATGATGATGATGAGGAGGAGGAGGAGGAGGAGGAGGAGGAGGAGGAGGAGGATAAAATCCTCCCACCCACCCCATTTTTTTCAAAAATCTGGATGAAAATCTACTTATTAAATTTAGTTGGCCTTAGTCAGTAGAAAGCCAGGGGTTCCAATTAACATTTGGTACTGGAAGGTCCAGGTAGATCTGTTAAAAAAACTAAATTATTTTAAATGTTTAATATTTTTTTTCAGAATCCATTACCAAACGAAAGTACTTAAAATTTTGTGATAACGTGTACACAATTTCTGTACAAGTTAGAACTTGTGCAAAATCACAACTTGTACACGACATACTTACAACTATTAAATTCACTGGTTCTTCAGACAATTATAAATCAAATTTACATCGTTTGGTGTTCCTTGCCAGTCTATCAATATTATACTTAGTAGATATGTACAACATGAATATATTGTACTTTGCATACGACATGTGCTTAGTAGCGTACTTGAATTTTGCAATAAAATTAAATGTCTGCTCGCATGCTTCCGTGTTTAATCTTTAAATTGATCATCAGTGTAAGGATTAACATTTCTTCTGAACCACTTATCAATGTGATTAATAAAGTGCATTTTGTCAACAACCATTCTTATTGTTGCCAACAATTTGGAATATTCAGGTTTTGTCTGCCCTTAGTGGGTTATTAATTTCTTCAAATGGCATGCGTCATCATAAGCAAGTAAATGCGGAAAATCTAACATCTCCTTTGCTAACCAAACAAGAAACATGTAAACTTGAGATAAGGATTCATATCCAAATAACTCAGTTACACCTACAATGATACCACAGTTGTAAACTGCTGTGCAGATGCCAGAGGTATTTTTTTTTTAATTAGACATATTACCTTCCTAGTGTTACAACGCAAATCGTCTACTTGTGCATCTCGACATTTTACATCCCCAAAAAAAAGAAATATTGCCTAAATATCATGATTGTATAGGGCGACAAATATTTTACGACAATTTGTGGTTAAACATGGTTTCCAGTCTGAATATTCCGTTGTAAACTTCATTTCTTATTAATTACATGGCAGGCTGCATTGAAGATTAAGTTGATTCAGGATTCATTACCAATACCACTAGGGCACAAAGGACAGTTTGATAGATTGCGGCTTCTATATATTCCCTTGTTATTATTTTATACGTTGGGTATAGTCCTCTAAATGACTAGTGACTCGATTGATGGTTAGCACTCCTTGTTATATAAACAAAAACTATTCAAAATATTTTGAACTGGTTCTTTATCAAAATTAAAAATTTCCATATACAGTATTGTAACAGACACTAAATTTGGCCATCTAAAACAAAAATTAAAATATTATTACATTTTGAAACATATCTAAAATATACCTCGTTAGATGGGTTCTCTTTCGTTACTGTGTTAGCATGCTTTTTACAGTAGATTGAACCAGCCGCTGGGGTTTTCTTACATCCAACAACAACATCACCTAACTCATCTGAAGTTTTTGTTTCACTCTTTTTTTCTGCACAAACAGACCTTGTCCCCTTCATGTGTCCGTCCAATACTAATGCTTAAGAACATACTGAACAAAACAAAACGTTTCATTAATCATATTAAAACAAATGAAATTAAAAGAAAACATTAAAGCTATGAACGTTAGTCTTTATACATATCAAGGCATATAAATGAACTAAATAATGGCAACAATGTTTCATGCAATACAATATTTCAAAAAAAAATAATTAATTTATAATTTTACAATTAAATTATCTATTGGATGATATTTTACTTATGCAAAACATTTCCACAAATTGTCTACAGAATATGTAAGCTATCAAACTGTCCTAGTCAATAGTATCCGGTTAGTATCAATTCTTTATGAAAAAACCCGGGTTTTTGAAATTATAATTGTAATTTATTCTGTCTCGGATTTTCACTGACATGATCAATGTAAAAGAGGACAATGTTTACTAGCGGGCACATTTAACTGCTTTGATACAAATTTGAGATTGCAATCAAGACATTTAATCCATTTATCACTTAAATGAAGCGGTTAATATACTCCTCACTTATATATTATGTTTTGCTCACCTTTGTGATTAAAACTATCTGTGTGTGATGACCAATCCTTAGTAAAAGATGTCCAAAGTTGATCCACATGCTTTTCTAACGTATTTTCCAGATGATCAGATGTTATAAATTCTATCTCTGATTCATCACAGTGCCGTTGCTTCATCGATATGAAGGCTCTTTTATTCCATGCTTCTGCTAGCCTACGTCGGTCCAGAATTAAAGCTCCAGTATCAAATTTCATCCAGTCTTGTCCCACATAGAGATCGTTTTAAGCAAATGCTATGCTTTCAAATGAAGCAGCTTTCCTGAAACTAAAAAAAAAAGAAGTTACAAATATATAAAAAACGGTAATAACTGTGACTTCGATCACTTTAATATACCCCCAGCCCCAAATTTTGCAATACATTAGAATCCTCTCGTAAGCGCAACTCCCCCAACACCATTTTATGGATTTAATGGATTTAATGGATTACCATGAAACTTTATCTACCAGCAGTATACAGTACAATGCGTAGATGTGCATGAAGAAATATTAATTCATTCTGACAGCAGTAATTTGAGAACATTTTAAGTTTAGGAATACCAAGTAATATCGATTATCCCTCCTGGATACAACGAA